AACAAAGCGATTCGGTGAAATTCAATTCTTCACTTTCATACGAACACAAAATATAATTTTGTGAAGAAGTTCCTTTTTAAAATTCAAAACTACACCTCAAAAACTTTTCTTTTCAATGCCAAAAAGTCAAAAGCATCCCTTTCAGTAATCTGTTACATAATTAAGAGAAGAGTTTCCTTGTAAACTGAGCAGAATTCCGGAGATGACCTTATTATAGTCAAGACTGAACCCCTAACATTTTACAACCGCATATAACTGAGAATATTTCACCTCTGAATGATTCAATTCAATAAAATTTCACAAAATTGAAAACAGCGAACCTGGAAATTTGATTGGATCTTCGAAAGCGTCAATCCAATAGAATCTCAGAACGGATCGCCCATTTTCATCCTTCCGGAGGAATGTGCAACCGTCCGATGAAACTGCTTTAGAGTCAGCATCGTCTCTTCTTAGATCGTTCGTTTCCTCATCCATTATTTCCTCTTTGATCTCTGCTTTCAATGGTAAGGCACTGAAACCCATCCAATCAGGTTTAAGCCCACAACCGAACAAATTGATAATATCATAGAGAGACTGCCATTCAATTGCTTTTCTTCAACTCATATTTACAATATCGTTGAGTTTAACATTAAATTATGATGGAAACCGAAATATATCAGCAAAATTTTAAGAAGAGGCAGATATTGCGATTCATGATCCCCTAAGCAACGATACAAAGCTTTCAGGTTCAACATCCAAGAAAAATGACGATTTTTTGAGGTGATGTGACCCACTCACCTATCATCCCAATTGAATGATGTCGTTGGAGGTTCATTTTCAGACGACTGCTTCAATGCACTCGTTTCCATAGAGCCATCTTCTGGTTCCTTTTTAATGCCTTCAGAATTTTCCTTCACTTCAACTTCTGGTTCGTCATCGTCACTCATCATTCCGGTAAACTTTAATTTTGATACGATTGATTGACATTTGATTTGGAATGAACTCATTTGCATTATCAATGATGCAATTAGACTTATCATACGTATCGCTAACATTACTCTTACCATTATTCGCATTGAAATTATAATCGTTCATCTTCTTATTGTTATTACTATTAACGTCTTTAATACCGCCTTCATAACGACATTAATAATATCAAGGAAACAATGAGACTATATTCTGCAACACTGAGTTATCGATATTATTATTATTAGCTTCATGGTTCCTGTTACAAATACGTTATTCTTCTGATGACTGTTCACCTGACCAATACGATTGTTATTATTATTGCAATCATCATCACTTTCTTATCAGGTCTACTATTATAATACTATTATCACTTTACATTATCATTCTCAGTCAATATTTTATCAATATCACATCGCATACCATTCCATCATCGTCCTCATCATCAAAAGCATCT